CCCCAAAACCCCAAAACCCCAAAACCCCAAAACCCCTTTATTATATAAAATTATTGGAAAATCAGCAATGATAATGCCAAAGTTTAGTGTCAATACTAACAATAGGACTTGAATAGGTCGCAGATATAAGTTGTCAGCAAATAAATTAGCAGATGCTGAGGTAAGGATGGGTTTAAGGCTCCTAAAGATTTCACTTTCTAGTGGTAACTCTCTGAAAGGCTAAAGTCACTAAAGTTTAAAAATAGTTATTTTTAAAGTTTGTTGATTTTATATTCCATTTAGATTAAATAAACAGTCACAAATCAAAGCAGGTAGGGTTGAATGGTTGATTATTTAGAGTATAAAAGTACTAAGAGTAATTCTTTTAAGAAGACTAAAAGTTCCACTCGGCCTGGAGTCTTGAAAGAGAAGTATTTAAGACAAATAACTCATAATCTCAAAAGCAATATTAGAAGAAATGAGTAACTTGTCAGTTTCAATCATAGCACATTTTATAATAAGAGTGGCAAAGGAGCAGTTGGTTCACTACCTCTTGATGTCATCACTGTAAGTAATTATCCATCTCAATATAAACCTTTCAGGAGCATAAGACTCACCAGAAAAGGCTTTCAGAGATAAATTCCAGGATATCGAACTACAAGACCAAGAATTCTTCCTTTCAGAGGCGAAAATAGCAAAGCATCAAATATTAATTTTAAAATGACTCATTCAGGGATTTATGTGAATGAGAAATTGTATTTTGACCAAGCTTTCAAAGAGAATAAACTTCTGTTTGATAAGATAAAGAAGATTGAGAAAAGAGAAAAGCCTAAGCAGGTTGACACCTCTAATTTCCCAATCAACACTTCTAAGAGCAAGAACACTTCATGTATGCTGGAGAATAGCCGATATAGATTCTACTTCAAGGATTGCTTCTAGCAAATTAAGTACGAATAAGAAATACAGCTCCTGGCTGACAAATAGTAGTTTAGCTCTTACTAATAATTCAAGATTAAGATCTGGCATTAGTGGGAGGAATCTACATGGTAAGGACTTGTAGAATATCTGTAGGGGAGGGAGTTCAAAGTCATAAAGCTATTCACTCCAACAATAGTAATTCTCAAGAAAGACAGGAGGTAATTTTTTATTCAAAGGTCTATGAAAGCTTTACGTTATATAACACTTACATTACTATAGTTCACAAAGCGTCATACATTTCGGTATCTCCAAGGGAAGAAGAGGAGGATAAATTCTTCCCATAGAACGAAGAGGTTGACCACTAGTGAAACAAAAACAAGGAGAGAATCTGCCAACAGGTTCTCTAAAAACTCGAATTATAATTCTTCTTACAAGATTAAAACTCTGAGTCATGAAGAAGAGTATGAGATTTTATTTGATCCTGATATAGCAGTCCTAAATTTTCGCAGCAAGATGTGCATTCTGGGAAATTCGGCAACTTATATCTACAAAGAGGAGGGGATTACCACATTGGAGTTCAGCCCTCCAGAAAGCTGAGAGAGAATATGAATTCATCTCTTAGCAAATTGTTTGTATAGGATTTATATGATTTTGTAGTGATTTTTGGAAAGTTAAAGACACTACTTCAATTTCATCAAATCAATGTGGGGTTTTGGGGTTTTGGGGTTTTGGGGTTTTGGGGTTTTGGGG